CAAGAGATCAGCAGCGTGGATAATCAGCAGCACAGATAAGTGTCACGGTTGGGTTTTTGGATTCAAAATAGCCAGACACAGGAGTGCAAAAACAAGAACAGTTTTTATTATTGGCTGTGGGTGAGAAGTCAGGATCAGCCATGTTAACGGGTCCTCACAGGTTGTAGGGAGAGAGTCACCTGTCAGGACTGCAGCGATGACGTCACTGGTCCTGTGCAGAGCAGCTGAAATAACATGGTTTGAGGGGCAAATCCAATAACGGGGTCCTGTTGTTAAAGCAGGGGTCATGAACAGGAAGACAGAGGTCCAGATACAAAATCCAAAAACGTAATCTGTGACGCGTGGTTTTAGTAGAGGAAACAGGGTGTGTTACCATGGCCAGAGAGGCAAACAAATCCAAAAGGAGCAGGCAAGGCGAGGAGTCCAAAAACAGGTGAGGGGTCAAGGCAAGGATGCATGGCATGAAACAGGATACTAGGATTAAAGGCTTCAGAATCAGGGACCATGGAAGGTATAATAATTCAGCCCGGTGGAGAGGGAGAATGGAGTTTATAAAGGGTGCAGAGCAGGTGAACTAGATGAGCTGAACAGGTGAGTGTAATCAGGGCTGATGAGCTGACAGTGCAGGGGGGGTGTGGTTAATGACAGAAGAAAAAACAGCATGATGACGAAGAGGAGCAGAAACCCAATCCAGAAGGTGGCGGTAATGCACCTTAAGCTGTTTGCCAACCGCCATAAAAAGACAAGAAGAAGAAGAAGAAGAAGAAGAAGAGGAGCAGAAACATGACATGATGGGGCTGTGAGTGTGAGACAGGGGCTGATGGGGGGTCAGCGGGGGCCGCTGATCGTGACAATAAGTCACATATCACCAATTAAAGTGTCATTACAGTGATTTTTCTGGTTAGAGATTCATGAGTCTAACAGCCTCAAGGTAGAAGCTGTTCCTCAGTCTAGTGGTTCTACACTTAATGCTCCCCAACTTCCTTCCTGAGGGGAGTGGGGCAAAAAGTGTGTGCTGGGTGAGTGGGGTCCTTCATGATGCAGGTGACCCTCTTCCTGCATCTGGAGGTGTAAATGTCTGTGATGGTGGGGAGGCTGACTCCAATAGACTTCTGTGCAGCCTTCACCACTCTCTGCAAAGCTTTTCTTTCTGCAGCTGTGCAGCCTCCATGCCACACGTTGATGCTGGAGCACAGAATGCTCTCCACTGCACACCTGTAGAAGAAGGTGAGGACTGAGCTTCCCAGTCCAGCTCGTCTCAGCTGCCTGAGGAAGTCGAGTCTCTGATGAGCTTTCTTGATCAGGCTGGTGGTGTTGTTGTTCCAGATGAGGTTGTCGTTCAGGTGCACACCCAAGTATCTAGGTGCAGTGATGTTTAAGGGCCCGGAGATCATGAGCATCCAGTAGTTTTATGGCCTTGACCCTTACGCACAGCGATTGTTCCAGATTCTCTGAATCTTTTCATGATGTTATGCACGGTTGATGATGATAACTTAAAAGTCTTTGCATTTTAAGCTGGGTAACACCATTCTGGTATTGATGCACTATCTTTCTGTGCAACAATGGTGGAATTGGTGATCCTCTTACCAGCTTGGCTTCTGAGAGACACTGACACTCTGAGAAGCTCTTTTTATACCCAATAATGTTGTCAATTGACCTAATTAGTGTTAATTGGTCTTCCAGCTGTTTGTTATATGCTCAATTTCCTTTTTCCAGTCACTTATTGCTACTTGTCCCAACTTTTTTGGGATTTGTTGACACTGTGAAATTTTGATTCAATATATTTTTCCTTTAAAATGTTACATTTACTCAGATTAAACTTTTGATCTGTCATCTATGTTATATTACGAATAAAATATTGACATTTGCCATCTCCACATCATTGCATTCAGTTTTTATTCACAATTTGTTTAGTGTCCCAACTTTTTTGGAATCCGGTTTGTATGTATATATATATATATATATATATATATATATATATATATATATATATACACATTTGTGTGTGTGTGTATGTATATATGTGTGTGTGTGTATAATTTTTTTTGGAGAACATTATTCCAATTCCCATTATACAATATGGGGTAGCTGTGGCTGAGCGGTTAGAGCTGTCGGAGAGTTGGGGGTTCAATTCCACCAGCAGTCACATGTTAAAATGTCTCTGGGGAAGACATTGAACCCCTCATTGCCTCTGATAATAATAATAATAATTAATTTAATTTGTAACGCACCTTTCGTTAACAAAAATCTCAAAGTGCTACAGAGTGCAACTAAAATCAATGAATAAATCAACTAAAATCTGTGATAAAATCAACTAGTCAGTGATAAAATCAACTAGTCAGTGATAAAATCAACTAAAATCAATGATAAAATCAACTAGTCAGTGATAAAATCAACTAAAATCAGTGATAAATCAACTAAAATCAATGATAAAATTGACTAAAATCAACGATAAAATCAGAGATACAATCAACTAAAATCAATGATAAAATCAACTAGTCAGTGATAAAATCAACTAAAGTCAGCAATAAATCAACTAAAATCAATGATAAAATTGACTAAAATCAATGATAAAATCAACTAAAATCAGTGATACAATCAACTAAAATCAATGATAAAATCGACTAAAATCAATGATAAAAATCAACTAAAATCAATGATACAATCATGTGGAAGCAGAATTGGCTTGCTTAAAAAGAAAAGTCTTTAAGCCTTTTTTTTTAAGTCAGTCAATGATTGTGGAGCTCTCAGATATTCAGGGAGGGAGTTCCAGAGGCGGGGGGCAGCCACACAGAATGCCTGATCTCCCATGGTCCTTAATTTAGTTCGTGGAAGGAGATGACTGTGATCGTAGGGACCGGGTGGTTGAATATGGAGCAAGAAGGTCTTTCAGATAATCTGGTGAAGTTCAGTTTAAACACTGATGGTAATGAGAGCAATTTTGTACTGAATTCTGTAGGTGACAGGAAGCCAATGGAGGTTATGGAGAATGGGTGTAATATGTTCAAATTTACGAGCTTTCAATAAAATCCTGGCTGCACTGTTTTGAATATATTGCAGTTTCTGAAGGTTTTTGCCGAATACTCCAGTAAACAGGGAGTTGCAGTAGTCGAGCCCGGAGGAGACAAAGGCATGGACGAGTTTCTCTGCATCAGCAAAAGTGAGAGATGGGCGAAGTTTGGAGATATTTCAGAGATGGAAGAAACAGGTTTTAAACAGATGCTTAATGTGATTTTCAAATGTAAGATGAGTCCATTTTTACTCCAAGATTTGTAACAGAGGTGGAGAGGGGGATGTCTTGTCCAGGAAAGGAAATAGTCGTTATAGTTGATGTTTGAACCTGGTGAGGGGTGCCAATCAGTATGGCCTCAGCTTTGGAACAGTTTAACTGAAGAAAGTTCTGATTCATCCATGCCCTTATCTCCTCCAAGCAGGTAGAGAGGGCAGTGAGTGAAGATGGAGATGACAATGGTGAAGATGATGCTCCAGTCCTGATGTAAAGCTGTGTATCGTCGGCATAACAGTGAAAAGAAATGTTGTACTGATTAATAATTTGACCTAAAGGTAACATGTAAAGGGAAAATAGCAGGAGCCCTAGAACTGACCCTTGAGGGACACCACAGGATTCACAGACAGTCTGGGACTTGGCATTGCCAAGACTAACACATTCCAGCCTATTGGAGAGAAAAGATTTAAACCAGTCCAGGACAGTGTCACAGAAAAAACTTAGAAAGAATGTCTTAATCCAGATTTTTTCAGAAGAGGCCTAATGATGGCAGTTTTAAGAGGCAGTGGAACATGACCCGATTGTAGTGACTTATTTATTATTTGTGTGATTAATGGGCTTATTGCAGAGTGATTGGATTTAATGAGAGACGAGGGGAAGAGATCCAGGGCACAGGATGAAGGTTTCAGTGTCTTGATGATGGTCTCCACTTCATTCTGAACCTCATCAAAGCAGCTCAGGGACCCAGAATGCAGACGGGTAGATGGCAGATGAAGATCAGGGAGGCTACGGAGCTGAGATCTAATAGAGTTGACGTTGTTTTAAAAAAATGAAAGGAACAGGTTGCATTTTTGAACAGAGTCCTCATGAGATTATTTAATGGGATTAAGGAGATGATTTATTGTGGAGAAGAGTTGTTTAGAGTTTCCAGGGCAGTTGTTGATGATGTTGGAATAATATTTGGATCGTGCTTCTTTAAGAGAAAAGGCGTAGGCTTTCTGATGTTCTTTATATGCCTGCTGATGTACAGAGAGACCAGATGATTCTACACGTCTCTCAATAGCACGGCCAGCTGCTTTCATCTTGCGCAGCTCAGCAGTGTACCAAGGGGCTGATCGGGAGAAAGACACCAGCCTTGCTTTAAAGGGAGCATGGAGGTCCAGAAGCTCCTGGAGAGATTGGATGTAGTAATCCACAGAGTCATTTGCAGATGAATGATTGACAGCGGTCAGGGAGTGGAGATCAGAGGACAGAACCTCAGGGGAAATGTTTTTAAAGTCACAGAACTGGATAAGTCATTTAGGATTTGGAGCAGATGAAGTTGAAGGCACTTCCAGGGAAATGACACAGTGGTCCGAGACACCCAGGTCATATACAGTTAAGTTATTGATAGGTACAGTGTGTGTAATCACCAAATCCAGAGTATGCCCCCTGTTGTGCGTAGGTGCGTCAACATATTGAGTGAGATTGAGAGTCCAAAAGAGACTTAAAATCTGCTGCCAGAGGAATTATCAATGTGGATATTTAAATCTCCAAGAATAATATTTTTCACAGGAGATGTGTGTCCCATTGGTGTATGAATGTGATAAAGCTCTGATTATTCTTTAGCTCTGTGGATATGTAGCAGAGTGCTGTATGAACGTGTGTGTGGAGGTAAATGAGGGGCACAGGTTGTGCTGTAAAGAGCTTCGAGTACACTGATGAGATAGAAGGATGCTATACAAGTACAGTCCATTTACCATTTATTCTGAAATTATTCTACTATTTACAAACAGTTTCCTGATTTTACTTCCAACAGTCAGCCTCTCTAAAAAATATTATCTCTATACCTAGTTCTCTTGCCGACATGTTGCCAAATAACCTTGTTGCAAAATGCTCAAGTGTTTTCTTATTTATATCAAATTTTTGAAGATGTGCTGCCGCCATAAAATTCAAAATTACCCTATTTCCCCACCAAACGGGTCCAATTTCTCAGCATAAACATTTTAGTTCACGTTTACTATATTCCTTTGTGAATAAAACATGGGGTTTATGAATTTAGAAAATCATTGCATTCAGTACTTATATTTAAATCTTATACATCGTAACTCTGTTGGACTTGATGTATAAAAGAAGTGGAGTACAACAGAATAATGCTAATGTTGTGATGTGAAGTTACAAATGTTCTGCCACGTTCATCATGTTTCTTTCATGTTCTCAGGTAAAGAAGAGAGGAGTCTTTACTCAACTTTGTTTGATTAAAAATTAATCATGTGCATAATTCTGGGAACTCTGAAGCAGTGTGTCCATCTTTATTGGGGTGGCTTCTAAAGCTCCTACAGGGCTCCCTGCCGTGCCAGCTGGACGGGTAGCTGAAGCCTCTTGTTGACCTGGCTGCTGAGTGCTGGACAGTGTTCCAGAAGCAGCTGGCACACCTCTTTATGACCCCGCTCTGCAGCCTGCTCGAATCATAACGTCAAAAAACTAGTAACAGTCACTGTTTACATTATGAAATGGTTTACGTGGTACGAATGCATTACTGGTGATATAATTATACTTTATGTAAAGGGGACGCGCCATCATCATCACAGAGCGACAGATCTGCTCTGTGTTGCAGAAGGAGTCTGACTACATCCAGATGACCGCAGTAAGCAGCACGATGGAGCGGCGTGGCCCCACCCGGCGTCTGAGGCGACGCACACGCACCATTCTCAAGAAGATACGCACATACATCAAGATGACCACTGCGGCTTCCGTAGTGCTACGACAAAACACAAACATAAATAAGGAATGGCGAAATGTGAATACACGAGAAGAGTCTGTGCTGCCAGAACAAACTCACCAGAGCTGTATATCCAGCCGAGTCTCTTAAATTTGGGTCTGACCCCTTCTGAACAAGGAGCTTCAGTCTCTCCAAGTCTCCATCCATTGCAGCAGACCAGATACCTTCAGATAGGGATGACACACAGCTGGAGTTATGATTACAAACATAATCCATAGTCAGTACATGACTATAACTATGACTGTAAGAATAACATGATCCACAACTCCTGTATTGTCCTAAATTCAAACAGATGAATGCAAACCTCGTTCAAAATCCAGTTCATTCAGGGTCTGGTGAACACTGGGAGAGGAGACAGGATGGGAGCAACACGAGCAATGTTTGTCGGACATTGCAGGAAAAAAAAACAGCGTTGAAATAGTTTTACAGCGCGTGAGACTAAACGCTTTCTAAATTGTCAATAAAGCATAAACAGCACACAAACTTCTAGTCAGTGTGGTGCCTTCACTGTTGCACTCAACGTCTTTGTTGCTATCAAAGAGAAGCTTCGCGGGAAGCCCAAACATTAAAGTTAAAAGGCAAATTGATATAACCCCCTACATGAGGTTCATTATGAAAATATTAAAGTATAAATCGTATAAATTGTGGCTCCGTAACAAGTGGAGAGGGAAATTCATTAGCATTAGCTGCAGGAGAAACTGACGCTCAAAGCGTGATTACGTAAATACTTTGACCAATCGAAGAGCTTGAAGCACGATGTGACATTCAGGGACTGTCTGAAATTAAATTTTCTTAAAATAAATTAGCCTGCTGTACATGTAACGTTTCACTATTCCTCCTCAAAGTATATGTAAACAAATTATTGACAAAAAAAATCAAGCAAAATTACTCTTAATCACACGTTTACATGAGAGAAACTTAAATATTCGCATCTTAGCTGTTAAATAAAAACAATGTAGCACGTTTTTTACCAGAACGTTTGGAAGGCATCTTTTTGTCTCGTGTGTTTGTCTCATGTAAGCTAGCTGGCCACTCTCGTTTGTTTCGAAGCGCTAGAAGCTGGCTGAAAAATAACATTAATATTCACGAATATAGAATTTTAGTTTGGACCAAAGCGCACAAAGAATGAGAAGAGTTACCCTATTCGTTAACGGGACGTCTAAAAATGGCAAGGTGGGTTAAAGTCTGGCTGTTGGGAGCAGTTTGGGCCGCAGAATGAAAATGTTTTTTTTTTTTTCAGCTAACAGTTTAGCACTACTTTGTAATAGATGAAGTGAATGTTTGCCTTATATACATCTCAGTGTCCTCCCAGCTTGGTACAGTTTAATCTCATTAAATCGGGATAAGTTAAGCATTTTGCTGAGACTAACCTGCATAAATAAAAGTTGAATGATTTTTATTAACATTAAGCTAATTGATTTCCTATTTTTAGGTTGTAGCAGTGTACGGGACCTTGCCTGATTTATTATCTGTTGCGAGCAACAAGCTGGGAATCAAAGCATCTTGTTTATACAATGGAAAGGGTGGTCTCATAGATGATATTGCCCTAATTCGGTAAGATCATTTGACTACAGCTTTAACATGATGGACGGTTCTCCTAACTGTGTTTTGATTGGTTCATATATGTGCTTGCATCAGAGATGACGATGTGCTGTATGTGTCAGAAGGGGATCCATTTATTGGTGAGCTTTTTGTACTGCATTAGTTTTATCTACTCTCAGTCAAAGTGTCTTATTAAAGTTTGTTTGTTTTGTCAGACCCACAGAATGAAACCAAAGTTGCACCTGATCAGCATGGAGCCCAAACTGACTGGCTAACTCTGAATATTGGTGGCCGTCTCTTCACCACCACCAGGTATCCAAGGTTTTAAAAGTGCTAAAGAAGAAATCTGTAAAAGTTTTTCTATATCACAATGAGGGTATTCCAGAAAGTGGGTTTTAGTGAAAACTCAGAGTAAGTTGACCTTGAGTTTAATTAAACTGTGTGATAGGTAAGTGAATTTATGAGTCTGCCATTAAGGTAAAATGTTGTAAAGTAAGCCTGCTTGCCAGCAAGTTACTGAAAGACACCCCAAGTTTCTATCATTCTTCTTCCGCCTGAAGCAAGCTCGTTCCTCATATATCTGACACAGACTTACAATAATAACTTGATGAATTGCATTCTCTCGTTAGATCTGAAGCGGCTTTGCCGTTGAAAAGTGCGACTCCGCTCTGCTGTCATTTTATCAGTTCTTCTCAGGTGTAGGTGATCTGCAACTGCGGCTTGTTTTCCCACTGAGTGGGATCGTCAATGCAAAGTGGGCGGTATCGTATCAGTTATTGTGTTCAAGTCACTCTTTAGCTTATCCCAGAACTGCTTAGAAGTCCAGGTGTATCCGTGCTGCACCATTATCTCCAATATCTCTGTAAATTACTAATTTATGGTGGCACCATCCCATAAACGCAATGAGGAAGTGGAGGTTCAGATGCAGTTGGCAGTTTTGCTGGGTGGGTCATCCAGTGACGTAGTTCTGCTCGCCAATCAACAGCTGCTGTCTGCTTATGTCAAAATCGGCCCCTCGGAGCAGCTTGGAACCTCAAATAAGGTGGTTCCACAGACCGAGCTGAATGGGGGTGGGCGTTGGAGAAAAAATATTCTCGCTTTATCTTACTTACTTTTAAGGAACCACACTCGACAGCCAGAGAAGATCTTTAACCTTGCAAGGTCATATTTTCAGGACAGGTTACACAGATATGCAGGAAGTACACACGCAGACCAGTCATGAGAATCTGCCGCGAGCAGTGTGTGAAGCTTGTTTTTATACTCTTACCAGTTCAGCAGAGCACACAGACTCGGAGGTGTCCTTGGAGCGACAGGTGCATGTTGCAGCCCCACTCAGCTCCTTGTCCAGCTTTCTACTAGCCCAAACATATGGTTCATGGGCAGAGTTAACATTGTCAGCCATAGTGATTAAAACATCCATAACCTTTGAACAAAAATTCCCTAACAGTGGGTGCTGGCATTGGGCAGCCCTTAACTGGTGTATTGTGTGGAACTAATGAGAGCTGAGTCAGTGGCATCATCAGTCTTCATTATACTCATCACATTAAATCAGGGATTGTCATATTTGGTCAAAATGAATTAAACATGTTGTGAAAGGAAAATATTCTTTATTGATGTGCTTTCTGATACATTCAGTATTATTTTCCTACATCATTAACCTATATAACCTTTTGTAGACTTTACTGTCATTGTGATCTAAATGGTACGTTACAACACCTGAGTTCACTGGTGTCAGTAGCAGCTGGCCAGATGTGCTTATCGTCTGTCCTCCTCCCGTAAGAATCCTTGATAAATGTTTACCTCCAGCGGCTCCCTCTTCTGTGTCTGCTGTGTGTCGGTTCTGATAACTAGTGATGGTTAGATAAAGCTTCATGAAGCACTGAGGCTTTCCATCAAATAGCTCGACTCATGAGCCAACACGCCATGGCGCTTCATTTGCTCTACTTCGCCATCACGTGGACTATAAATGTAAAACTGGTAGATGGATTATAATATAACTGGTTTGCGAAGCGTTAAGTTGAATAAAAGGGAAAATATATATATATATATCATGTTTGTGAGGACCTCAAATAGTCTAAATTTGATCTGCAAATGATCTTAATGTGTCTTTATGATGATGGTGATGATGGAGTTTTTTGTCTGCCCCTTATATTTCGAATCTCGCGCTTGCAAACGAGCCAGTTCCTGAATCGGTCACGTGGTACGGCCCACTAGCGAGTCCTCGAACGTCATTACATGCATCATCGATACACGCCTCGATACACGCTCCACATAAATCCTCCTGGATTACTCGACACACGCTTCGAAGCCTCAACACAGAAAGACACATCACTACCGATAACACGAAGGGGAGGGAGCGGCTCCTGATGAGTTTCTACAAAACTAAACTTTTCTGCTCAGGAAGGCAGAGCCAGATCAGAACCAGGCAGGGAAAGAATTAGCAGTTCTGTACTTGTAATTCTTTGCTTCTTGAATTCTGTATCTCCACAAACTTTTTAAATTTGATCAAATCGTTTGTGAATCAGTTTCAAATTTCTAACATTTTAGGTTATATTTGACATTTTACTCAGATCTTCCTGATGACACGAGCTGTTCCAGAGGTATGGCTTAATTTGTCTTCCTAATCATGAATACCCCTGGAAAATGGGTCTGAATCCTATATTAGTGGTGTTCTAATGAGGATTTCTTATATGATTTGAAAGAGGAAACCTCAAACCATATTTATTATTGGGATTTCACAGCTGCTGTTAAAATATATCAGCTAGCACGCACGCAGGGAACTAAAACCTGAAGCATTTAAGCTCAAATCATCATTATTTGTTCGTAGTGCTCAAAAAAGTGCTTCAAAACATTCTTTAAGATTATATTTTAGATGTTTCATTCTAGGGACTCGTAAACATATTTACTATTCATCTTCTATTCAACTTCTATTCATCACATTTGGACAAAATCCAATGACAAATTTTTCGACAAACGTAGTGTAACTGCCTATCTCTCTCTTTACCACCTTGCAACTTAATCCTTGCTTACATCTGACTGGTCACACATATTGTTCAAATTTACTTTATGATTAAACAATTGACACGAAATAATGATGAATAATTCACATTTGTTTGGTCTTTATTCTTTGTCTTTACTCTTCAAATTCAAAACATATGACCAGTTGCAGGTGAGAAATTATATCGTACAACTTTATTATCATTACAAGCTCATAAATAAAAAATCTAATTTCAAGAACAAACTGCTTTAGGATTAAAGTTATTCTAACCAACCATCTTATTTTTGGTTATTTTATTTATAGTACATTTCTGTAATCAAGCTGACTAACAATGCAGTCAAGTTGTGTTTTTAAGATTCTCATTTTACAAATAAATCTTCCTATACACAAATTTTCTTCCAAATTGACTGCCGGTATTTGCTTTAATAGAGTAAAATGGCTAGTTTAATGTATTATATTGACTTCTTATATAATAGCTAAAAAAATCTAATTGGTAAACCAGTTTTCATAAATTAATACTCTGGGATAAACTAAAGAGCTCAGCTGAGCTGTGACATCGATGCGCCTGGTTCAAAGTTCACTGCATTCAGGAACTGCCCAACTCTTCTTCATCTGCTGTTGCCATGGTGAATTGAAGGATCTGTTATCCATGGATGGCTTTGTATGTTCACACTTACCTCAAGGTTAAGATAAGACACGCCTAGTTAATTAACCTCGTTGTAATCATCCTTTCTGAATCCAAAAAAACCCCTAGAGTTTCCCCTTTCAAAATAAGTTAACTTTGAGTTTATGAATAAACTATGTTTGTTAAAACTTTCTGAAATACCTGTGATGTCTGATCTTCTGTTTTTCTTGTTTGTTTTGTCATCTCTGTTCAGGAGCACTTTGGTCAGCAAAGAGCCTGAGAGCATGCTTGCTCACATGTTTCGTGAGAAAGGTATTGAGAAGAAGCCTATTAGTAATCAGCAGAATAATTATACAGTTCTTATGTACCAACTAAGACCACAGAAATCAGAGAACGTAGTCCAGTTTAACCACCTACATTCACAGTTAAACAGTAACTGTTGAGGGTTTTCTTAATTTATTACTGCACATACTTTTTTGGCAACAACTGGTAGCGATCCTTCAGATATTCTCAACTCATTGGCACATAGATATGCAGTAGTAGGTCTTCTGGCTGTATTGTTGATGGTTTGAACTGTGATACTGATGCACCGAAGTGGTCTCTGCATTGCTGGAGCAAAACGGCAAATAACTTGGGGCATCGTCATATTCATTGTTCATAACATCAACAGTATATTCAAGAAACAGCATTTCTTACTGCATATTTGTGTGACGATGGCCTGTGATTATCTATAGCTGTGACCTGACAATATTCAAAAAATGTTTTGTGACAGAGAGGGGACTTATAATTTAAGAGGAGAAGTACATTTTCAAAAACAATGTATCAGAACAACCAAAAAGAGTTTTTGTATATCAGTGTGTGGAGTAGATCTATGGAATGATTTAAATGATGAGCTCAAACAAAGTACAAATATAAGCCGGCTTAAAAAACAGTATAAAAATGAGCTTATTGAAAAATATTTTGTATAGGATGGGAGTTTCAAAGACCAAAAATGCTATTGCTGATATTAATAATGTGTAAATAATTGTAAATTCAACTATGAAAATGTGAGGTTTAAGCATCATTTAATGTGGGAGTATTATAAGTGTTATTTGGTGTGGGGAGACTAAAATGATTGTACATTGATGTGCATGACAGGGGCAGGAAATCATAAGATTATCTTCTACCTGCTCCTTTTCAAACAAATTGTGTAAAAGTGCATGTCAATTGGCATGATTGTTTTTTCTCTTTCTTTGTTTTTACTTTTTATTGTCGTTTGAAATAAATAAATAAAATTAATAAATAAATAAGTAGATGTGACCTGTTATGAAAAAATGATATTAATGATATATTATCTATGATAATAGATATTATTGTATATACTATAGAATATTTAAAAAAATAGTATATATATGTATATTTATGTACTGTATATATAATAGATAGTAGATAATAGAATATTAGATATACGTATTATGATAAACTACAAACACCTGAAACTGACTTATGGAAAAACCTTTGTGGGGGGGAGTTAAATGGATATACACGTCTGCTATAATAATCTTGGGCGTACAAATATTCGTCTTATAGTGTTAATATTAAATAATTATGAGAACTAAATCAGCAAAAACACAAGTCTCACTTGTGTTTTTTACACCAGTCCTTGACCCCTGCCCTCCCCAGCGCTTGTGAAAATGTTGAAAATTGTGAACCACCCCTAACAATTACTGCAGTTCCATAGAGAAAATTACAGGGGATGCAGGACTTTTTTAGTTTTGTGTAGAGCGGTTTTGGTCAGCACATAAGAAGTGCACATGAAATTGATTTCCTTGTTAACCTCTGTGTTTGCTGCAGATGTGTGGGGAAACAAACAGGACGAGCACGGGGCGTACTTAATCGACCGCAGCCCTGAATACTTTGAGCCCATTCTCAACTATCTGAGGCACGGTCAGCTCATTGTCAACGAAGGCATAAACATAAGAGGTACGTTTTGAAGAGGCACAACGTGTTTCTGAAGCACTTAAATCACAAAGAATATGAAGTTTTAAAATGTTTACTGCCATGATGTCATTGTCATGTTTTCCAGGAGTCCTGGAGGAGGCTCGCTTCTTTGGAGTTGAGCAGCTGGCTGAACAGCTGGAAGTAGCAATCAAGGTAGTGTGAAATGTCCTGGCAAATAATGGGGTCACTCTTCTGATTTTGTTGTGATTTACAATTTCTTTGTTTTAACACAGAACTCGCAGCCACCCGAGGACCACTCTCCCATTTCCCGCAAGGAGTTCGTTCGTTTTCTTTTGGCAACTTCCACCAAATCCGAGCTCCGCTGTCAGGTAGAGCTAACAGAAAACATTTTGTACAAGAATGCCCAAGGGTAATATTGACTCTGTCGTTCCTGCTGCTTTTAGGGACTTAATTTCAGTGGTGCCGATTTATCCAGACTCGATCTGCGCTATATCAATTTCAAGATGGCAAATCTCAGCCGCTGTAACTTGTCACATGCTAATCTGTGCTGTTCCAACCTGGAGCGGGCTGATCTTTCTGGAGCCAACCTGGATGTAAGTATGAAAACTTCACACTAACAGTAGACACGGTACAAGTGAAGAATAATAAGGCTCTTCCATCTGATTCTTGCATTTTATGAGGTGTATTGACATTATCGACCTGCTTTTAGCTGAACAATGAAAACTTATGGTCTTTAGACACAACAAGGCATGCACCTTTTACCTGTTTCAATGTATACCAAGGTGTTAAAAAGTCACGGTGTCATCACTACAACTTTCCATCATAGTGTTCCTATAGTTTAAATTCCTGAAAACAAGATAAGATATTTTCAGTCCCCCCTCCCCTCCTCCGTTACTGGATCTGTTGATTGAAACCATCATTCAGTTGTGTACGCTAGCCGAGGGGGGAAATTCCCCTAAATGTTTATGCTTCTTATAAAAGAGGTCGGGCAGCACGGTGGCACAACTGGTAGAGCTGCTGCCTCTCAGTGAGCAGGTCCCTGGTTCAAACCCCGGTCCAGGGGCCTTTCTGGGTGGAGTTTGCATGTTCTCTCCGTGCATGCGTGGGTTTTCTCCGGGTACTCCGGTTTCCTCCCACATACCAAAAACATGCATGTTAGGCTGAATGGTTACTCTAAATTGTCCCTAGGTGTGAGTGAGAGAGTGAATGGTTGTTTGTCTCGTTTGTCTCTATGTGGCCCTGTGATGGACTTGCGACCCATCCAGGGTGTACCCCGCCCCTCGCACAGTGACTGCTGGACATGGGCACCAGCGACCCCCGTGACCCAAAATGGAATAAGCGGGTAAAGATAATGGATGGATGGATAAAAGAGGTCAGTTGGATGCACTTTTATCTAGCAGGTGTCAGTCATGGCTCATCTAGTAGCAAAGCAACACCTGCCTCTTTTCAAGGCAATGCTGGTTTGAAACAAATGTTTGCAACAAGCTACAAGAGTTAGCGCGTTAGCAGGCGATATATATACAGCCTACTGCAGGCAGGCAGCACTAGTAATATTGTCTGTATTTGTTTTTTTTAAATCAATCAAATTATTTATTAATGTTTGTTGTGATGCAGTGTAATTGTGATTATTATTATTTTTTTTGTTCAAGGTCTTCAAGCAGCCGTCGAGCAGCACAATGGCTTAGTTGTTAGTCACCAGTACCGTAATTTCCGGATTATAAGCCGCTACTTTTTACATGCACTTTGAACACCACGGCTTATAAATGCTGCGGTTAATTCATGGATTTTTTTTTTTTGATGGGCTAACGAGCTTCATGCCACCAAAACATTTAGCTTCGTCACACCCAGGCGCTCACACATCTCACTTGGGGGTAGCGATCAGTGACTTCCTGGTAGACTACTGTATTTTTTTTTAAATCAACCGTGTTACAGGCACTGTTCAGAAAACAAAACAAAACATTTACTGTATTTGTGCATGTTACTGGTATGCATTTAATTAAAAGTTTAAAAAATATATTTCTGTGTAAATAGCTCATGTTACAATGTGAACACCCGCGACTTATAGACAAATGTGGCCTATTTATGTAAAATTTTAATTTTCTTTTTAAATTTAGCGTGCGCGGCTTATATTCAGGTGCGCTCAATAGTCCAGAAATTACAGTAATTGTCATTAATTGTAATTAATAATTGTTGCCTCACAGCAAGAAGGCCCTGGGCTCAATTCCTAGTTTGGAGCTGGGGTCTTTCTGTGTGGGGTTTGCATGCTCTCCTCATGTTTGCGTGGGTTTTCTCTGGGTACTCTGGTTTCCTCCCGTAGTCCAAAAGCATGCATGTTAGGCTGCCTTCAGGCCCAGGACTTGCTTACAGAAGAGATCAAGGATCTCAATGGGATTTTCCTGGATAAACTAAAGGTTAATATAAACCATTAAAATCTCATACCAGCCCATACTTAGTCACAACAAACCTCTTGCCTCATTAGTTAGGTGTTATCAATTGTTTTCCCTGGGCTTGAGATGTTTTGTTTCTGAGGGACGTAGCTAATAATAAACAAGATGACGAGAACGGTGGGTCTTTGCATTTTTGTCTTGAAGGGTGCTAATTTACAAGGAGTTAAGATGCTCTGCTGCAACGCTGAAGGAGCTTCTCTCAAAGGATGCAACTTTGAAGATCCCTCTGGACTAAAGGCCAATCTAGAAGGTACATTTTTCACAACTTCTCCTCAGGCTCGAGGCTCAATGAGACTAACCTGTATAAATAAAGGTTGAATGAATGAACCAGACACGCTCCCACGTTCCTCACCTCATTTGAACTTGCTTTTGTTATCAGGTGCAAACCTAAAAGGAGTTGAGATGGAAGGAAGTCAAATGACCGGCATCAACCTGCGTGTGGCCACTCTGAAAAATGCTAAGCTGAAGAACTGTAACCTGCGGGGGGCCACTTTGGCAGGGACGGATCTCGAGGTAAATGAAGACTCATTAAACGGGATTATCTTTCAAAGCAGTCACAGAGGCTGACGCATGCTGGGCGTACACAGGACAACTTTTCTGGAGAAATAAAGACGTCAATTCAGAAATATTCATCTGTAGCTCACAGTAGGTCTCATGGCAGAAAATGTAGTAAATTCATCAGGTCTATTGGAGATTAAAACAAGACAAAACAATATTTTTAAAGTAGGACAAATAGCCACACAGAACAAAGTTTATGTTTTTATGAGTTAAATCAGTTTAAGGCTGTCATGTACGTTGTTAACCGTCCCGGCGAAATGCAGCTGATTTGACCATTAAAGTGCATTTATTAAGGAAAAGTTCAACTGAGACACACCGTTACTATCAAGCCGAGCAAACACATAATTGTTATAGGTGCTTATCTTGTTAAAGTTAGAAGAAATGGACAGCGATTCGCCCACTGCGCGTTCATGTTTCCGCGTATCGGCTTTTGAAAATGCAGCTGATTTGACCATTAAAGTGCATTTACTAAGGAAAAGTTAGACTGAGACACACCTTTACTATAATTTCGAGCAAACAAATAATTGTTTTTAAGTGTTAATCTTGTTAAATTCTTGTTAAAGTCCTCCCGTGCACGCTCCCGCGGCCGCCAATTGGCAGCCAATTGATTTTTGGCACAACACCGACCCACATTTCCAGGTTCGACCCACATTTCCGGGTTGTCAACGGTGACGCGTAACAAACGCGACGTGTCAGAGGTGACGCATCATAGATGGGACGTATACGGCAAAGCGACTTAGTTATGGATTTTTCCACTTTATTAAACATATTTGGACTGATGCGACTTATAGGGCGGTGCGATGTGTACGGCGGAAAATACAGTATTTTACTGTCATCCTGTGTATTATTGAATTCTCTAGATATTTATGACAAACTACAAACATGTGGAACTGAAACTTTTATGGAGAGAACGTTTTGAGCTTTTGGAGAAAAAATTACAGTTAAAATAAGATGTACCTGGTTTTTTTTTTTCTAAAAATATAATCAAATAAATAAATAAATATATAATTATCTATAAGTAAACGTCTTTTAGTGTTAAAATTATTCGATGCCAAGAACTAAATCAGGAGAAACCACAAGTCACACTGAGACAGACACTCAAGGTTCAAGGTACTTTATTGTCATTCGCATCACGTGGTACATGAGGTTGAACAAAATTGTGTATTCAAGGTCCCAGTTACAGTCACAAATAGAAAAAATATAAAGTGTAAAAAAGAAACAGTATACAAGGATCTAAGATACATGTTAAGCATTAATAATATAATATATGGTGTATTAAACAGCATCCTGAACATGAGTCAGTTGTGAGCAGATGGGTAATACAGCAGCTTATGGGTAAGAAATCTGTGCTGTGTGCGCTCCCATGGCGCCCGATCACTTTTTGGTAAAACACCTGTCTTACAGCAACGTGAACGTTTGGAAATAAAGCGAGTATCAAAGCGTGAAGAACTCCCCTCAGCTGGGTTGACTTGGAGCACAACACTGTGTTTGATGGACGTCTCCCTGCTCTCCTTTTTGAAAACACGATGAATCAGTTTAGTGACCCTGGAATAAAACCCTTGGTTTTAGTGTTAACACCTTTTATTTTCCAAACTTAAACTGTATTTAAGAGAAAAAAATACTATATATATATATTTTTTTTTGGGTACGTCCTGAAAATAGGTTCAGGTTGCAACAGGCCATTGCAATGTATGGCCCCTTTCCATTAGTAACGGTACAGCACGGTTTGACTCGGCACAGTTCCAAGGCTTTTCCAGTAGCAATTATTCGTGGAACTGGCACCTTTTAGTTCAGCATACAAGCTACAGCCTGGAAGGTGGGAGTGCAATATGTCCCACAGGTTGAGAACTGCTGATTTAATGTCATTCTTTGCTGCTTTTTTGTTTGCAGAACTGCGACCTGTCCGGCTGCGATCTACAAGAGGCCAATCTGCGAGGGTCCAATGTGAAAGGAGCCATTTTTGAAGAGATGCTGACTCCCCTGCACATGTCTCAAAGTGTCAGATAATTCACCTGCACACACCTGCAAGTCCAGCTGGCTTCATTCTTGTTTTTCCTTCAGCTTATACAGTTTGCTCCTCCTTTTTGAAATTTCGCTTTACCTGTCTTACCAAACGGGTAATATATGCACATGCCTGGCATTCTGCCGATATCACATTAGCTTTAATAATCTTGCACTAGAGTTTATCCAGGGTTGTCAGTGTATGATTTTAAATGTTCAGCTGCATATATTACCAAAACTAAGTCACGTTCCTTCTGTGTATATGTATCTGGATGTAGTTTAGTGGTTCTACTTGCTTTATGTTTTGCATAAGTTGTATTTATTTGATATTTTTGACATGTTTTTAAAGTTGAAAGCAAATCACGCGAGCAGTAAAGCTGAGCTTAACTGAATGCTGCTGTAGCAGAAACAGGAGTGCAACGTATTTCTCTGAGTACGCTCCTTTATCTTTGCTGAATTTATCGAGCAATGCCAGCCAAAGCCATACTGTACCATAGCACAGTCGAAAAGGCTGCATGTGCCGTTGATGCACCGTAAAACTATGCTACAGGCAAGTCAGCTTGAATATGCAATACATGATGTAGAGCTGTGGGGTTCCTCCTGTTTGAACATGCTGCTTCGTTTTGTGCTCTGTGAATCTACCTCTTTTACTAATTCAGTGAGTGATCCACAGCACGCATTTGAGTGTGACACGACGTGCCCTCCATCATTCGTCTGGTTCTAGTTGTGAGTTGGTATCTTGTGCTTGGACGAGCAGTCTTTTTTATGTGCTCCTTTCCTGTTTGCATGAAATGTTTCTCACCATACTTGTTTATAACCAAGTTTATGTGAAACGGGACGCGTCTTTTCACCAAAAGCTTTTGGTGTTTTTTTTTTTTTTATGTACTTTTATGTTAAACAAATCCAGTGCTTCCAAAACTTTGAGTCTCTGTGCGTGTTGCTGTTTTGTGAAGGATCTCACCTCAGTTTTAACGGGACAGTGTTTGCATGCACCTTTGTTTGTATAACGGTGAAGTTCCCCTTTTGCAGCTCAAAGCTGCTTTGATGCAATATTCAGTGAAACAGTAGGTACAGTCTGTGAGCGTGAACGATGAAGGCAATCATACCGTGGGGTTTTGACTCGAAAGGTGTAATCAGCTACGGTTTTTAATTTTAATACATGTCGATGGTATTCCTGATTATTGCACTCAGATATAGAACAGTTTCCTCAAATGACTGTTAATAATAAACAGCTATGAACAAAAAGTTTTTGGTTTCTCTTTTAGTGTCTTGTGTTTCAGCTCTACACACACGCTTAACATTCACCGCAAACGTTGCAGAAAATGACCGGAAGTTCTGTCGCCTGCTGTTTGTTGAACACTGTGTAACACCCAGTTTTTACACTAAAACGTCCTCTTTTAAACAGCTCTGCGGGTTGTCTTGTGTTGCTTAATCCCACTTTGTGCCCCCCCCCCCCTCCCCCCAAGCGGCAGCAGCTTATATAAACCAAAAGTGCAGCATCGTTTACAAACGACAGCAACCAAGAGGTGCTTTTATTTCTGAATAAAAAGGCAAAGTGTTCACAATACAGCACCGAGAGGTAAGACAGAAGTTAGGATTTAAGACAAATATCTCAAAATGGCTATTTGTGAAACGAAGTGTTCTCTTTTCTCCCTCAGAATGACGGTGAAACCCTTGGCTGTGTGGCTGCTGCTGCTGGGGACGGTGGCGCCGCCGGGCTGCTGTCAGCACTGGTCGTTCGGTCTGAGCCCAGGAGGGAAGAGAGAACTGGACAGCTTTCCAAACACACTGCAAAATGTAGGTGTTTTTATCAGAACACGTCACTTTTAACATTTTCTGCTCATAAATTTAGCCGATTTCATAAATTTAGCTGATTTTGTTTCTTGTGACAGGTAGTTGAAGGGTTTGCACACATGGATGCACCTTGCAGACTTCAGGGTGAAGAGGAATCCCCTTTTGTGAAATTATTCAGAATGAAGGGGCTTCTTGTAAGTTTTTAATTGAATTTTTTTAACTGTGGTGTTTTAGACAATCGTTTCAAATTAAATAATAATAATAATAATGCATTTTAGGAATTTTTAATAATTGGTTTCTTCAAAACCTAAAATTAAAATGTAATTCTTTTGTTTTATTTGTAAATTATGGACAAAAAACCCCCCTTCATATTAACAAAGTTAAGTAGCAAGTCTCTTTAGGTTTGTCTCTGTAAGCTTGATACATCAAGTCATTAGAACATTAGTCCATTTTCTTCATGACCAAACCCACCGGTACATTATTGTAAATCATTGCAGAGATTTAGATTGAAGTCAGGTCTTCTCTCTGACTGATCGTTGCAGGATATTTAAGTGTTTCTTCCTAAACCACTGAGTGTTGCTTCAGCCGCATCTTTAGAGTCATTGTCCTGGAAGGTGAACCTCCATCCCAGTCTCAAATCTCTGGATGACTCCCAACAAGTTTCCCTGAAACTTTTCTCTATGCTTTGTTTTATTTATTGGTCCTTCAACTCTTGCTGCCACCGCCGTGCTTCACTGTGGGATGATGTTCTTGGCATCATGAGAGGCGCTAGGCTTGGGTTCAAACAAGTAAATGCCAGAGTGGCAATAAAATTAAAATAAACAGGAGAACAGAAAGATTTTGGGGTGAACACTGATTGATGAGCGTCATGGTTCTGATTAAATAAAAAATGTACTCCTTTCTTTCTCCTTTCAGGGGAGTGCAACCAACGGAGAAAATGGACATCGAGGATATAAAAAATAATTCTTGATATGTTATAAATTTAATACATGCATATCATGACTTCTTCTATATCCAAATCACAAATAAAAGTTTTTTTGTTTGTTTTAAGATTCATTTTGTGATTATTGAATGCTGCAACCCTTGGATTGTTCTATCTCAGTTCCTGATGACGCAGACTGCCAGAGAGACGGACAAAAAGCTTGAAGAGCTTAGATTTAACCTTCATCCAGGTTATAATGATTTTGGACAATAAAACTAATATTGGCATTAAAAGACAGCAACCAAAGTTAAAACACTGTCAATCAAAATGCCAGGAGCTAATATTTTATATTAACCACTTGAGTAGCACTGCTCATAATATTAGAGTTTTATTTTGCGTGAAATAAAGTTTTTAATAATTTATTATCTTTTCATCTTACTGTTTTCTGAAAGTGAGAAATTTAGGACAGTGAATATCTTAGGGGTTGAATAGGAATATACACGAGCGTTTACTATAAAATAAGTTTTGAGCTGTTAAAAAAAAATTCTCCATTTGAAACCCATATTTGAAAAGTGTTAATTATTTGAATAAAAATAAAATCAGGAAAAATTCAAAAGACAAAAGATGAACAATTTTGCTGATTGAGTTGCAGTCCTAACAAGTCAAATTTATTTATGAAGCACATTAAATTAGCAGCTGTTACCAAAGTGCTTCACAAAAAAAATCAATGGCAGTAATTAAAGACAAAATAATAACTAATTTAATTAAATGCATCAAAAGAAAAACAACAATAAAAATACTAAAATCACACTGTGTTAAATGTCAGAGAAAACAGGTGTGTTTTTAAAAGATGTAAAAGCAGGAGGTGGAGTGTCCTGTCCAATGTTGGGGGGGGGGGGGATTGTTCCAGAGTTTAGGGCCCACGACTGAAAAAGCCCGATCTCTGAACTTGAACCTGTTTTTTGGTCCAACCAAAAGCAGCAGATCAGATGATCTCAGCACCCGAGAAGGAACGGATGAAGTAGGTAAGAGAGAGATGAGGGTGCAAGGGCATTAATGCACTTAAAGGTCAACAGGAGAATGTTTAAATCTGATACATAGAGGGAGCCAGTGAAGGGAGGACAAAACTGGTGAACTATCCAACCTATAGTTCCAGTTGATAGCTGAGCTGAAGCATTTTGGACGAACTGGAAGGGACACCTGATAGACACAACGTAGTGTGTCGACAGTAGTCTAGTCGGGTTGTAACGAATGCATGGACTATTTTTTTCGAGGTCAGATGGTCAACATGAACATAAGCTTAGCTATCTGCCTTAACTGGAAGAAGCTTTTTTGTAGAACAGTGTTACTCTCTTTTAAACAACATCAGAGTCTAAAACCATCCAGATGTGTAACAGACTGCTTAAGATGAGATAGAGTCCAGATTTACAAGATCAGAGACGGTGATGGAGCTAAACAAACTAATTTCAAAGAACAACATTTTTTAAAGAAGTAGCACGGGAGTTTCTCACACAAACTATTATTTTCAGCTTAATATACAATATTACGATTAATATACAAGATTAAGATAAGTATTCAAGGATTTTTTTTATTGTCATACCAGTTCACATTTGCATGTTTGTGGTATGGAATTCAGACTCAGGTCCCAGATCAAGAAGCCTAACAATTAACAAATAAATAAATGCAGATGAGTACAAATATACAGATTATATAGTAAATAAAGTTAAAAAAAAAAAAAGTAAGATGAAGCTGAATTAAGTACGGCTCAAGTTCATCAGTCTGACAGCTGCAGGGAAGAGCCTGTATCTGAGCCTGGTGCTCTTACTCTGAATGCTCCTCAGCCGCCTGCTTGAGGGGAGGGGCTAGAACAGACTGTGTGCAGGATGAGTGGAGTCCTTCATGATGCGGAGCACCCTCCCTTGCATTGTGAAGCATAGAGGTCCGAAGTGGTGGGAAGGCTGCTCCCCACAGTCTTCTATGCAGTCTTAAAACTTGTGTGAAAATCTGTTCCCCTGTGAAAATCTAGCTTCAACTCAAAACTAATACTAAATTTAATGCAAAATACAAATTGCCAAGTGTGAAAAATCACACTCGACTTCATCTTAGCTTCTAATATAAAACACTGATGCCTCATCCTGACAGAATTTAGTTAAATGTGCTTTATGGAAACTCGTGTTCATGGTTCCTGGCTTCATATTTCATGGTTCTTAACTGTCTGGGACTCAACATTTTTCAGTCAGGTCATCTGGACAGTTTCTTTTTTTTGTGCTGAAACGTTTCGCCTTTGATCCGAAAGGCTTCATCAGTCAAGGAAACACACAACAAAACGGATTCTTCCCCCAACAGCTTACTCCAAAGTGGAAGCCTTCCAGATCGAAGGCGAAACGTTTCAGCACAAAAAAAACCTGTCCAGAGGACCTGACTGAAAAATGTTGGATTGTATACCTGGATTATTGAGCATGGACTTTGTTGTTTTAGGCTAATTTAGGATCACAAGTCTTTGCAATCTTATACTTTTAAATAAGCGGAACAATTTGTATTTCACATCCCATGAAGTACTTTTTTATGACCATAAGAAGGAAATGTTGAAAGCAATAAATTCTCAAGAATTCTCTTTCTTGATATTTTTTAAAAATCTCAAACTATTTAGATTTCTGGTTTTTAATAAATGTACATACATTTTGATAAATGCACCCACTTTGAATGTTATCAGCCATTAAACGGTCGTTATTAATTGTTATCATCCCCATATGTAGCGGTCAGACTGCCCCTGCTAGTGGGTTTAAAGGTACGTTGTTAGCGATGATAATAGGCTCTGTTTTTAGCTTTGTTAACGCTCATAATAACTTCACGTAGTTAGGTTTAGAGTAAAGGGTCTGGCGGTTAGGTTTAGGGTCTTGGTTATGTTTAGGCACAAGGGGGTTAAGTTTAGGGTTGGTCCTAAGGGTCAGGTGTAAGGTTAGGTTTAGGAAAAGGGTTACATAAGCTGAAAAAAACAAACAAAAAAGACACTTCCTGGTTTACCTCTGTGCGACGCTGCCTATTATCAGCGATAATAACGTAATTTTAAACCTACTAGGAGGTCGGTGGTAGTCTCACCTACATATGGGGATGATAACTAATAACGGGTATTTAATGGACCGATAACATCCGAAGCCACTCATAAATGTTTTCCCCTTCAAAGTATTTTTTTTAACAGACGGGAAACATTACTGCTAACAATGGTCAATAACTTGACAGATTCTCCAGGACTGTAAATAAATGCATGCAAGTCATATGAGAGTAATGCATCTTTTAGTTTCATATGCTGTTGCTTAGTCTTGGCAATTTCTACTATTTGCACTCCACATGGGGGAAAATAACAATCTCCAAATGATTAGTGATTTAATAAAACATATATTAACAGTAGTATTTACCTTGGTTTTTTTATTAGTGCTATTACTATGCTTTTCATTTATTTGTATAAAAAATGACCAACAGGCTTTCTGGTAATTATTTTCTTCACCCTGGAGTTCCATCGTGACTTATTCCGTTGGTATCTAGTCATACTTTTTATAAGGTTGAAATGCTTTTATCTGATGAAATGTTTGTGTAAATAAATGTTAAATCAAGCCCCTTGTAAAAAGAAAAAGGCAAACAAGATCCAAATCAGCGTCTTTATTTTACAAACGCATTATTCTAAGGACATTTTATGTATAATAAAAAGGCAATTTACAAGCTTAAGAGTCAAAATAAAGCAGCACAGAATGATTATGAGTAAAATATATCATTTGAATAAATATATTTATTTCATGCTATAAAATAAATTCATAAATGGCAATAGATACAATGTCAGCTGTAGCTAGCTTCATTTACTTCATAGTTGTATAAAAGAGTAGAGTTCTGAGGTTCACAGTTGGGTTGTGAGGTTGTGTGTAGAGTGGATAAAACAGGATGGGACATTTCTGCGGTCTTGGTTCGGTTCGTGGTCTCCAGTGGGCCCCGAGTTTCAGTTCTGTGGAAATTTCGGGTTCACCGAGACCTTTAGGCAGAATGCTTGGGAGTCACTGACTGAAGACTTGTTTCCCCAACCTGAAGAGAACTGCACAATTACACCATGGACAAAGGATGAACGTCCAATGAGACCACTTTTCGCATGATATACCCTGAGTTCAATGGTTGTTTTTTTTGCCTCGTCATCAAACACATGCAAACCAGAGACGTCATAGTGCACAGTTTCAGGATTCAGAAAAGGGAGAAAGAGCATCAGCTAACCAGAACCTTCCCCTCTGCTCTTGAACTGCAACCACTGTCTTGAAACAGGAGGAGCCCCAGGAGATCATGAACCTCAACATACCAACAGACAGCCCACTCCCTGACAGTGGCGGAGCAGCCCAAACATCCCTTTCATCATTTCACTCAGGTGGAGGTGCACCTGTGAGTTTTAGAACACGTGCCGCAGTCTTCCGATTACCACGAGCATTTTAAACATCTCTTAGCATCACTTTTTCCACTTGATTACTTTTGAAGTCAACTTGTCCAAACGGGGAAAATACGTAAACCAAAAAAATAAAACGACTGTGGTCCTCCGTTCATTTAACAGTTCCCTGACGTTAGTTTTAACAGCCTTGATGATCCCACTTTTACTTTCAAAACGCTTATTGCTTTTCTTTCAATACACAGTGGACATAAACTGACAGAAAAGCCGTGGAAGACTTATGATTTTTTTTATTTTATTTAAGCCCGTATCAGTGTTCGTCAACTACCTGAAGTGAGTTTATTAGAAAAGGAATAGGACGAGCTGCAATTTCAAAAAGTAGTCCGACAGCCTTCCTTGTAAACACTTCTTGTTGATTACTTGTGGCCAGAAATGAAATTCCTTTCACTTTCAGACAGCTGGAACAAAAAACAAACAAAAAGCTGACACTGAGCCAATTGAAGAACGTGTCAAGATGAGTTAGTTCTGTAGGTACGCTGTAGCTCATTAAAAGCTTTGAACAATTCTGCCTCTACTAACCAATCACAAATTTGTTAGCTCATTTAAGAGGAAAAAACACTGACTAGTCCAAAAGCACCACTTAAGGGAAAAAGGTCCATACCCATCAAAATAATTGTGGGAAGTACGACCGAGTCCCTAACAGGTAGATAGTTCAAGACGACTTTCCAGATGGAACAGATCTGAAGTTTTGACTAAAAAAAATAACCAAGTTCACAGGCAATGAAACAAAAACAAACAAACAAAAAAGCTTGAAGTTTAACTTTCAATTGGCAATTTTATAGAATTTTGTGGTTGACCAACGTGCAACTCAACTACAGTAGGATAAGCTTGTTTTCTGCACACTCAGTAGATTATCTGCTAAATATTCAAACCAGTGACGTGCGGTGAGGTTTGTGACAGGTGAGGCCGACTCGTCTGGAGACAGATGCTCACTTATATGAACCCAAAATAGAAGCTTATATATTTCAGTTTAGCCTTTTTTTGTTTTGTTTTTAAAGGCATCTAATTATGTTTTAATCAACTCCATACTCCTCTCTTTTTAAATAAATAAAACGCCTTTATTTTAAGACGAATGAGTTTGGAACAATTATGAGTTTAGAAAAATCCTTTACTTTTGAGATATGATCTATTTTGTGTAAACAGATTTAAACGAGTGTACTGATTTGCTAAGAACGCACAGACGCAGCACTGCCCCCTATCGGTGCTGCACGGTACTTTCTGCCTCACCTCTCATGTTTTTCAGCGTTTTATGACCGATTAGAAACAAGAAATATGTCGCACATTCATTCAATACGACAGACTGTAGAACATCAGCATGTGCAGCACATGTGTAATCAAACATGTATATTGGTGATAGAGAGACAGCAGTGGGCATGCTCCAACTGCCTACTTCATATATCGTAAATGACACAGCGCCCCCAGAGGTGAACCAGAGCACTACACCGCCTCACCCATTTATTCCATGTTGGAACAGGCAATGCGTAAATTCTGCAATTTTGACCACTGAAGTGTTGAAATTATCCAGAAAACTGTTTTATCAAACACTTTTATAGAAGAGTCAAGTGCTTAAATTGATTTTCTCTTATCATTGTTAGCATTTCACTTGTCGTGATGACGCCTTCCCTGACTGCACGTCACTGATCCAAACGGTTTCCTGCTCCAAGAGAACAGAGAGGAAGTAGATTTACATTCGTCATGCATCTCCTTCCTTCACTGAAACGCCTCACCTGGAGGACGTCGCTCAGATTGTCTTACAGTCTCTGAACATATGGGCACTGGTGTGCAGGAAAGTCTGCCTCATCTGATTGTGATCGACTGCTACAAAATCAGCTACTCATCCCCCGACACCAAAAAAAAAAAAAAGCCTAGGTGAACATCAGAAACAACGGTCAGTTCAAGGATAGTACAAAGAATGACATAAATTAATGTTTACTCTTTCTTGGCACCACTTTATAAGAAATGTGGTCATATTTTTCTATTATTCTTATTGGTTCTAAAATGAAGGAGGCACAAAAATCCAAGTGCCAGAATCTAATAAATAAAGCTTGTGGCAAGGCACTAAGTTTAAGATGCCACTCTATGTAGTATTCTCTTTATTTATGCAGATTTTAAGCAGTTATGTTAACTATTGCACAACCTTTCTATCATCAACTTTTGTATGGCTTAATATATATATTATTTATGACTTCAATACTCAATATCTGCATCGCAAACTGCTGAAATTTTACAGACTTGATTGTTAAAGGCTAAGAAATGAACAATAATTGCAAATAATGACCCTACATTGATTCCTAATGAGCATTCAGTTACACAATATAATCCAAACTGGCTGTAAAGGTCACCTATTAGTCTTTGGTGAGATGTCTTGGCACAAAATGATTTAGCTGTTTTTACCCTTTGTTCATAAAATAGTGACATTTTTTCCCCCCTAAAAGTAAACGTACTCATTTATTGTCTAAATAAGGGGCAAAAGCTATCGCTGTAAAATGTCAGTGAGTCAACATCTTATTTTGGTGAGGTCAGAGCAGTTGACAAACCTGCACGTGTCAGCTTTTTACAGGTATAAACTTTACATGGTAAACACTTATACACCGACAGGTTGTTTGTTGTAACAAAGAGTTTGTGACTGATTCCCACACAAGGATAAAGAAAAGCTAGCTATAGTAATTTTAGCAAAAATCACCAAATTTTGGTTTGCCATTTTTGTCTGTTAAGGAGTCAAGATGACGACTGTACATTCAGAGCAATTAAAAACAGGACGAACGTAAATTTAGACAAACGGACAATATTCTCCCACCAAATGCACAACAAGCAGGAAATACATGAAAACTGCCAGATATTCAGTTTTAAGTACTACGCAAAGGCCAGACAGAAAAAAATATAACGTGTGCTCTTAAAAACAAACAAACAAAAAAAAAAGGCATTTAACATCTTGATTGCGAATAAGAAAAGCAGAGTAGCACAAATAGAACCTTCTGGCTGAGCTTTAAATTTGCAAACAATTAATCTGGCACTTTTGAAGAGCCATCTTATATAAAAACTACCCAATCCCTGATCCCCATAGCACAAAGAGTATACCGGTAGATAAAAAGGTCATGCCACATGCATGACTCGTATCAAATAGTTTTCATGAGATTGCTGAGTGTCCAAGTTTTTTTTTTGTGAAATTTACTGCGGTGAAGCAAGTCACTCAAAACACACACTTGCCGACTCGGGATTAAAAACGACACAGATCTGCTCAGTTCGATCACCTGAGCAGCACTTTGCCCAACGGTCACTCTGCAGACTGCACTGATACTTTGACTAACCAACTACAATTTAAAACGTGTACATTTTAACCTTAATTCTTCTACGCCACACCTATGACAATGTAATAAAAGTTTGACGCATGAGGAAATGACGTTCCTGATGTGGAACACAACGGAAAATTGAAACAAAGTATTTTCAAATAATGGAATAAAAACCATCTGACAATGGCTGAGATTCCTTTGTTCGATCTTTTTGCATATTGTTCAAGACTGTTCCTTATGTGCTAAGTTGACAACGAGTACCCCCGTCTCTGTCAAACACTGAGTTTTATATTGGAAGCCTTCCTCAGGTTAAAACGAGTACACAGACATTACTTATGTATAAATATGCCATCAGGCTACAGAGGAATATAACTTATTTTATAACTATGTGAGCGTATTTCACCCAGTGTATGGATGATAGCATCTAAAACCATGCCTGGACCAACTTGAGAGAGACTTCCAGTAGTGATGTGCGATAAAATTCTGAAGTGTTTTGTTTAACAATTATTACAATACAGACAAAATGTAATCTTGAAAGTATATAATAGCCATTCACTTAATCTGTTTTCTCCACATTTGTCAAACGCACATAAGATAGCAAACTTAATGCACTCCTAACATAGCACCTTCTTAATCATAATTTTAACCTGGCTGACCTGAAACAAGAACTTGGTTCTTAATCCATACAATCAGCAAGGAATACACCCCCCCACCCCTTGTATCAAGGCTTTGTGTTAAAATAACATTTCTTACAGAGTTTGGCAATAAGATAAACTGTACATAAAACCTTAAACAGATTCAAACGGTGAGCACGTTTGTGCATTGTAGGTTCCTGGCTATGAGGTAGAACCCGGTGAGTTTCAGTTAAAATACTGTTTGTTGTGAGTATGTAGTTGCATCATGAGGTATTGAACGGATATGTCACATGAAGCTTTGCACTGGCAGAAAAATCATTCCTTGTGAGTAAGTGACCTCCAGTGGTCACATGTGCAAAAACAGGTCAGATAAAAAGGTGATATGACAAGCATCTTACCAGAGCTTTCACATTATCAATTATTGCAACATGCCTATATAACTCTAAATATTTCTTTTTTAAATGTGGAAAGATAAAAAGAGAAATCAACTAGAGGTCTTGATTATTAGGACCACCTCAAAAATAGTAAGCTGTTACTCCCTTTGCTTAAATGATTTTTTTTTACATATATATATATATATATATATAAAGCATTTGTTATCCCTCTGCATTTAGCGACACACTTTACAAAATTGACAGAAACCCTTGACTTGAGAAATGTTCAGAGTAGAGAGAGCTGATTCAAAAAAAGGGGATACTTTAGATTGAGTTGAAATAATAATTTCTTAAAGCTCGCTTCACTTGAAGCAGGACCTAAAAATCACATCTTGATGCTTGAGCCTCCTCTGGACTGCACTTAGAACTCTCCTCCATTTCATTAGCCGGCGCCTCTTCCGCGTATTGTGCCTCAAAGGCCATTCCCTCTGTTGCATTATCTTGGTCTTTTTGACCTGAGCTTCCCTCCATCCTCTCTGGGGAGTCCGTATGATTGTTAATCTCTGATGCGCCCATGTGCTTCTTCCTCAGGTGCTGGTTAAGGGTGCCCTGAAATGGGAAGCATTTACCACAGATCTGACAGTGGAAGGGCTTGTTGTCTGTGTGGCCGCGGATGTGATACTCCAGCTGATCTTTCCTTGTGTACTTCTTGCCACAGAACTTACAAACAAAAGGAGTAATTCCCATGTGCAGACGCATGTGGCGGTCCAGACTTCCTTTCTGATTGAAAGACTTTCCACAGTAGATGCAAATGAGCCTCTCGTTGTAGGGATACCACTGGCTCCGGAGGCTACGCTCTCGAACATCGTTTTCCAACCCAGTGGCCCCCACAACTGCTTCACCATCCTCAGAGCCTGGTTTCATTTGACTTAGCACTCCTGCTGGAATTGCCATCGGACGCTTGGCTCTGGCTCGCCCACCTCTGAAACCACTGAGCAAGGAGCGAGAAGGACTGGAGCTGCTTAGGTTGACAAAGCATGGCGAAGAAAGCCCTGAGTAAGAATAGGCAGCAGGCTGGATGACAGGACCATAAGAACCCACACTAACAGCCACAATCTGATCTCCATCCACAAGCTCTGTGTGGTAGCCATCATCACCAGCCGAGGAACTATCTGAGTAGGTTGGCCTATCGTTTTTTTCTATCTTTACATGCACATCCGTTACTTGCCCATCTTTGCCAATAAGTTCTACCTGCTCCATTTCACCCTCCATGGGGGCATCATGCTCAGACACACCATCACTACTGCCACGATCTGACTGGCCCTCCTCTTGCTGTCGTACTCGGCTTTGGCCTTTTCCAGCCAACTCCAACCGTGCTTCAACACTTGGCTGATTCTGCCGGGAGTAATAAGGGGGGGAGATCTGGGTAGGGTTAATGAAGAGGCTGCTGTCATTCATCCCATTGCGACTTGTCTGGAGGCTGTCCTTCTCTGGGCTGGAGGAACTAACTGGGAGGCTGATCTTAGAATGGATGCCCTCCAGGATTTGGGTACACTTGTCAATGATGGCCTGCATCTGCAGAAAGCTAGCTGCAGTGAGGAAACTGATGATATCCTTAAGTTGTAGGGACATGTGACCCGTGTAGCAGAAAGCAAGAAGCTGCTCAAACACCTCGGGGCTTTTGATGACCGAAATGGAGAGACCACTCATGGTGCTGAGAGCTGAGTGGTCACGGAAGTAGGGTGAACTTGCTGCCAGAACGGCTTTGTGAGCCCGAAATGGCTGACCCTGAATGTGAACGATGATATCACACAACTTCCCTTGCAGCCGCAACTCATTGAGTTGAGTAAGAACAGTGTTGCTGAACTCCGGCACATCAAACTCGATGTAGCTGCCGTCGTCCATTTCTTGGATATGCTTCTCCAGTTTGTCGACAACCTAAAAAGAAAAGAAAAGAAAAAGAGGCAAAGCATCATTTGACTCCGTCATTGTTCAATACAGTCCAAATATTTAAAACCATCATTATAGTATTTATATTTTCATGGCAATAACTCAAGAGTTTCTTGTAGTCACACTGCTTTTACTCAGAATGTCTTCAGGCTTTCAGTCAAACCTCTCTCAAATTTAGATTTTTTTTTTATTATTATTTTTTTAAATTCTGGCTGTTTTTATCCTTTTTCTGTCCAGTCCTTGTATCTGATCATGACAGTATAGTGAAACCAATAAAGACATGTTCTGTTTTAATATTCTACATCACCTTACAACCCAGCTGTTTTTGTTTGGTTTTTTAATACAGTTTTCTTTCACTTGTTCTTCTCAATTTGTATGTTTTCTTTTACGATTGTCTACAGTTGTTTTTGTTGTGTACTGTTGTCATCACTGTTAAAATCCAGTCTCTCTTTTAAATGAGTCCCCGGGGCTCGATGGGATTAACCTGTTTAAATAAAGGTTGAATGAAACAAAGTGAGGTAAATGAAGTAAGTGAACAAGTGGTGGCCAAAAGCCTAGAAAATATTATCTAGATTAGATATACAATATCTGAAAGTCATCTTTATGAACAGAAAATAATCTAATCAAAAAGCTGACACAATACCTGAGAAATGTATAAATCTTCAGTTAATAATCTACTCTATGCCAAGTTTTAAGGAAAGTTATTTTGGAATTACCATATTTGTAACAAAACACAATATCATGCCTGTCAAAATGTATTATCATTAGCATTTTTAATAAAGTAAGCCAACAACTGGAGATAAAATGTCTTTGTGACAGGCTGTTAGCGAACAGGTGCCCAAAGCATTTAAAACTGGTTATTTTCAAAGTTGTCTATGCTTCAGACAAAAAACTAGTTCAGATCTTGAATTTATGTGCCTTTATGCATGGATAAACCCTTGAACAGTGTTAACTTGCTTAACAAACAACCAGAAATCATTACACTGAAAAATTTTAGGTAAAGAAATAAGACTGAAAATGAAAATACCTTTGACCTTCAGAAAGTTTTGTTGTTGTTCTTTAAACCATTTTAAATCGTTACAAGAGTTCCTAGTTTCCTAGACACAAAATATAACTAAAAGAGCGTATAAAGACTTTTGCACAGTCCTATGTTAAATAAAATTAACATAACTAATAACCGTTTGTGAGAACGTTTCTCTAATGTGAACTTTTTTTTAATAAGTTAAATATATTTTCAACAATTGCAAAACAAAAAAGGGCCACAGTTTGGTATTTTTAATAAGTATCTACACAACTAAATTAAAATAATAACCAGACAGATCTGACAGTGATGAAAATGTCACGGTGGCTGTGTTGCTGCAAAAACCATGGCTGCTTGTCGTCATTCACTTAACAATAACTCATAGCACCACTAGTTTGATTTTATGTATGCATCTACTTCAAGACTTACTGAACTGTGGTAAAACTAGTTGTGTATTTTGGTATGCACATACAGTAAATGATAATTAAAGCAATGTTGATCTATGCCTCTAACTTGGGTGACATGTTACTCCTAAACAGCACTAAACAAAACAAAAGCAGTTTGATGAAGATTGTTGTGAATGATATTTTGCATGCAAGCATACATAAAGAAAAGTGGGCTGTGAATGTATATGGCATTTTAGTGTACCGTGCCAGTAATTCCCAATCTGGGAGGTACTAGAAAACTTGGGGGGTTAAAGAGTTTAAAGGCACAGACTAAAATTATTACTAAATATCTAGGTGGAAAAGATAAAAAAAAAAACCGAGGCAGCATCTTGAGTTGGGCTTTAACAGACTACTCGAGTTATCCACACATCGATTCCTAGGACATCTCTCGAGTATTCGTAGTGACATCATTACATCGCCATTACATCAATCACGTGTCACATGATCTGCACTGGGCGCGGGCTACAAAATGGATTCCTCTAAGCAGACGGATGGAGCGGAGCAGGCCCAGTCTTGGAAAACAGGTAGAAATACATCAACAGTCTGGAAATATTTCACTAAAGATGAGTCTTCCAGTTCAACTACCGTAAGGAAACAGAAAATGAATCAACTTCCTGACTGTTTGGAGCTCGTTGCGAACCGCTGTTAGAACATATTCTGTGACCACAGTATATTGTGACCGTAGGGGCGGTGTTGCATGCACTGTTGCAGGTCACAGAATATGGTGTAACACGGGGTCCAATGACCGAACCAGAACCAGCTTCCTCTGACCTTGTTTCACAAACAAAAAGCACAAAATATTAATCTCTAAACCTAAAGCGCAGCACTGTGGGCGGTGGTGGTTGACCCCCCCACTGTTTTTAGTTTCATTTTTGATGTGCCGCACGTTTCTTTCACTTTTGCAGCTTAATAATAATAACTAATAGTTTTGTTTTTCTTGTGACTTATTTGCAGTATGATAAATGGTAGGAGCGTAATATACGCTCCCAATGTTTTGTTGATCTTGTTTTTTGTAAATAATAAATGACTTTTTTTTGCAGTTTTATTTATTTATTTATTTTTGCATCTTAAGATCCTATATGACATCATCAACTACTCGAGTTCTTTTTTCTTCTCCTTCTTCTTTCGGCTGCTCCCTGCGTTAGGGGTCGCCACAGCGAACTAAGTTGCACTAAGACTTGGCAGTTATTTTTACGCTGGATGAACTTCCTGACGCAACCACAGACACCGAGCTACCACAGCCCTCCGTGTGGAGCAGAGAGCTGCTGTCTAGGACACCCAGAGGAGCAGATGGTGGGGGATTAAGGGCCTTGCTCAAGGGCCCAGAGTGGGACGAATGAGGGTGGGGGCAGGTGTGGGTGCTTCACCTACCCCACCCACATTTTTGATGTTATCGGCTTGAACCAGCGATCTTCCGATCACAGGCCCACCTTCTCTAACCTCTGCGCCACCACTCCCTAATCAACTACTCAACTTCTACTCGAGTTTTATTATTTTAATGTAGAGTTTAAAAATGATGTAGTCGTTCAACCCCTAATCTTGAGTCAATGTTTTTAACAAACTACTGAACAAAAATATAAATGGAACACTTCTTTGTTTTTACTTCCATGTTTCATGAGCTGAACTCAAATAACTTTAACTTTTTATGTCCACAATAAGCCTTGTTCTCTCAAATATTGTTCATAAGTGTGTAAATCTGTGTTAATGAGCACTTCTTTGTAGGGGTGCAGTTTTCTGGCCGATCACCGATTTCTAAAAAGTCCGACCTGCCGATTCCGATTTTGGCCGATATCGATTTAGTTTTATAAGCGACACTGTCTGGTGTTATAAGGTCACAATGCACCTTCAACTTTCAATCTTATTTTATTGAAAAACATACCCTTGAACAATATCCTAGAAACAATACAAACTTGTTTTAACTGGCCATGAGGTAGTGCTCTGAAATATAAATGAAGTTCAGACAATTGTTGATCAAGATCAAGGCACTGGCTCTTAGTTTTTAAGCAAACAAAAATTACATGCAATATATTACCGATGATTAAAGAATATATTTGCCAAGTGTTCTGGGGCGGTTTGCACGCACATGTGTAGGAAGAGCACAGTTTTTCTGTTAGTGCACAGAGTCCTCCTCTCAGAAAAAAGTTTGGGAACCACCAAACAGAGGACCTCTCCTAGCTTTACCAAAAAAAATACAGCAAAATATTCACAGTTACGATGAATATTGCATAAACAGTGCAACGTTCTCTAACAGTGCTAAAAGTACATTTAATTTATTTTAGATTGTACCACAAAAATACAACCAAGTGAAAACATTCAGAGGTTTTAAAACATTTCATCTTTTATTTCACTGAAAAGCTTTCAATGCTGATTTTCTTTAGACTCAGTGGTGTTATTGCTAAGGAGGAAATAGTGAGGAAAGCAGATGAACCTTATGCAAATTACTGAACAAAATGTACCAGTCTGTGACTGCATTATAGGAGTCAGGCTATACAGGTATACTGTACATCCAAGATTTGGCAGAGAAAGAGGAAAATCTGGTTATGTCCCAACTGTTCTTGAGAAGACTTTCAAAGACAATCTTCTGAAGCATTCAGGAAGAACAGTGACTGCAGATGCCCGTGTGTGTTAATGCACGTTGATCCTGTCTCTCTAGACAATCACACCTGCCAAAAGCTTTACTTAAAAAAAAGAAGAAGTAAGAAATAGGTTTTGCCCAAACGGGAAAGCTAAAAAAAAACATGCAGGACACCGACACTAATTTTCTTATCCTGACAAGATAAATAGTAAGCTGAAGTCAGTATTTTATCACATTCATACCTTAAACCCCACATTTAATGCTAGCACTAGTGTATCCACCTTCGACAGTTAAAATGCAACATACGTGGAAACATGGATTTCGTTTCAAAACAGCTCTTTGCCTAGTTTCAATACAAGCAGCGGAATAATGCAACCTTAAAATTAAATTCTAGAGAATCTATTGAGTACTTCTGTGTTTTCACAGAAAACCCTTTCATGTAGAGGAGCGCAACATTTTAGTTCCCCAGTTTTGACCCTTGTCTCCATCTGTCTTTCTCCCATCTCTCCCCCCTGCACCCACTCCTGCTTCTTCTAACTGGCTATTCAGCACGATCCTCTGTGCTTTGAGTATGCAAGCACTTTCTCCAGTTGTGAAAGCTTGCCATAACACCTGTCCAGTAAATCATAGTTTCAAATCCTGGCATCCGAAAGATGACGTTGTATCAAAAAACCAACAACAACATTTAAAAGGAGTTGTGTCTCTTTTACACTCCTGGTGTGACCCGTTTTCAAATACATGTTCATACATTAAAACACACCAGCAATGGCGCTATGAAAACTCAATGGAGCCAAAAGAAGAGGAAGCCAAAGAATGCTCAGTAGCTGAAATGTACATGCTGAGTGAGGGTCACATGCTTGGCTTAAAACTGAAAGCCAAAAATGTTTGAACTCAGCTCAAAAAAATTCCATCTGTGGCTCAAATTCCTAGTTAGATGATGAAACTGATACAGCTGCTACACGAAGGCACATACACAGGATACAGAGTACTACAATGTGATACTCGAACTGACTGGAGATCAACTTCCCTTTAGAGACATCACCCAAAACTCGAGATTTAAAATGTTTAGTCGTTTCAGTGGGAAAAAACAAGAAAATCCAAGTCAGCAGGCAGGCAAGCATTGTTTCTTCAACATCAGCAACATTTGCTTACTTCGAAGAACAGTTTGTGGGTTACACAAGACGCAGGACAAATGTGCTTCACGAGCAAAGAACAGACAGTGTCATTGAGAACAGATAGTAAAACAACTCCACAAAAATAGACTAGCTTTAGAAGGACTTCAGGGACAGCAGGGATAATAACATCCTGAACAATGCTTCGCCTATAGGAAGTAAACATACGGAGCTAAGTATTACATTAAGTATTCCTTGATTGGATTTGGAGCACATAAATGGAAAAGAAAACAATACTCTTCCTTTTTCAGTTCAGCTTGACCACGTGCTAATCAGATTAAAACAAGTGAAGACTTTAAAATATGCATACCCATGTCTTATTATTTTTCCACTTTTCCAATATTATCAGAGCACCAAACAGAAATATGATTCTTAATGGATGTTCTTAATGAATTGAAATTAATTGATTCTTAATGTTCTAGAATCGCGCCGCTCAAGGTGGCTGCATGTTGGAGCAGCTCTGTTACTTTCATTCTGAGATTTTGCTTTTGGAAACTTTAATTCCTCTTTTTCTGGATGTAAATCACATTTTTTTGGATGATGGATCCTCTGGTATCAGATGCTGTGCAGCTGGAAGGATTTTTACTGAAACTTTTTTTAGTTTTGGACATTTGTTATGATGCGTAACCATGGCAACAAGGCTGTTTTCTACAGCCAACAGCTGATTAACATCTCAAAAGCTCAAAAAATATCTCAACTACAGCCCCGAATCTCAAATGAGTTGAAAAGGATGCTCTGTGGATGCATTCTCATCTACCTGCCAGCTGTGCTTGAGTGCCTGACCACTGAGATCCTGGAACTAGCAGGAAACACAGCTCGTGAAAGCAGAAGGACAGGATCGTCCCTCAGCACCTACAGTTGGCTGTCCGCAGCGACGAGGAGTTCGGCAGACTGCTGGGAGGAGTGGCCGTCGCTTTGGGAGGAGTTCTGCCCAGCATTCAGGCGGTCCTACAGTCCGGGGGAACTGAGAGGCCTGCTGAGTCTGGGTGGACGGATCGGGCGGCATCTGCAGCCACTTTCTTAGGATCCACTGTGGGATGGACCTTTACAAGAGATCCTTCCTACCTACAGCCATCAGCATCTATAACATCTCTTAATGAAATGAGGATAATGAGTTACTACAACAAATAATTTCCCTTTGGGATTAATAAAGTATTTTTGAATTGAATTGACTCAGGAGTGTGGGGTATTCACAAAACTGGAGGTGGTACAAAACCTGGCCTCTCCAGTTCGTACCTTAACGTACCTTTAGACAAGATGCTGTTCTTGAAATTACTCAAAACTCTTACTGTGCGAGTTAGGTACAGGAGAGAGAGTTGTGTGTGTGTGTAATATAACAAGTACCTGGTACCCTGTGCACATAATCTCGTTCCACCATATGTACCACATGCGGTGTGAACAACAATAAAGAAACTGACGTAAACGGCTTAACAAATTCTGTAACATTTTACAATCGTTATATCAACTACAATGTGACAAATGTCACAAAATCTTGAGTCAAACTCAGACTTTTACAAGTTTCACCCAACGCGAGGCATTTATTTCAATGATTACAAACTACAATTGAGCAATCTTTTGTTTGATCAGTGGGCTTAATGACTTGTGTTGTACAACAATGAAACACAATCTGGCGAATCAAAATCAAAACAGTTTAAGTGGTTAATCCAAGGTGAAAGATCACTTCAGATACAAACTAATAATGTGCAGGTGGGAAACAAAACGCAACACCATCAATAAAATGCAGCTACTTTAGCTGCCTCTAAGATGAAGTCATTTTGGTAACAAATACAATGATCAAGCAATCACGTCCTGTTCTGAAAGTACATTTTTAAAGTCAAGACAAATAGATGTCATATAAAAGTATGCAACACTTCATGGTGATCCAAATGAACCCAGGTAGACTGAATTTAATATGCCACGTCCCTGCACTTTGTCCTTTCCTGCCATCTCGCTTAGTTTAATGGTGCACATTGTTTCAAAGTGCTCTGTTTCTCTGCTGTCTTTGCCAGTTCATCTTTAGCCCCAGTATAACCAGTGAGGATGTTTCTGACATATTCACACCACTGTAACACTAATGCTGCTCCACTGCAGAGGTTACGACATCGCGTGCTTACAGTACGAGTCAACTTCTTCATTTTTAATACATTCGTGATTTCTCTTTAACAAGTGCCATCATTGTTCATATCTACGAGGGTGTTTTAAGCACGCACTGTAAAGTTTATTATCACTTACTGTTAATTAATTAAGGAGGGCCGTATCAAACTTTTAATTTAAACCATTCTATTAAAAGGCGATGGGGGGGGGGGGGGGGGGGCATAGCCGGGATGCTAACGCTGGCGCTAGCTTTACCATCACTTTCCAACGTATTTAAAGTTTGTAGTTTTCATTTTCACAAAAGAAAACGACGACTTTTAAAGTTATAACGTTACTTGTCTCATTTGTGTCGGCATACAAGGCCAAAAGAGCCGAGCAGCTCACTAGCATCAGACTAGCATCACTAGCTAACCCAGTATCAAATCTACAGAGAGAGGCGCTACTTGAACACATTCTCCACATTTTTATTAGCTAACCGTTCATTCCTAGCTCAGACTATGAAAACAATTTACAAGCTTGTACGTTTCAATAGTTTAGTTACAACGTCGAGCGCAAACTACATAGGCTATGTCACAGCTACTATGCTAGCTGGCTAGTGTTAGCATGTAGCTGTAGCTTTGCGGCCACTCCACATTATCATTCCGAGCCGAGCAGCCGCAGCGAAGTACAGCCAAAGAACAGCTAGCACACGCTCCTAGGTAAGTAATTATGTCCCATTACTTACACTGAAATGGCACCGACATTACAAACGCATTACGGTCACCAGTCCATGTCAAAGATGAAGTCCACCAAACTCACCGTCTTGATTATCAATAAATGGTGTCCATTCCCCTCAGTAGTTCGCTAACGCTACAGCCAGGCCTCCCCCCCTCTCTAGTCCAGATGTGTCAGACAGTTGCGGCTTCAGTTTTTACATCAACAGGAAGTGTGTTCTTTAGGCGCTTTGCATTCATTCTGCCTATGTGTTTTGCAGCAGCCCCTCCCTTTATGTCAGTGATGTATGCCGAGATATAATGTTCTTAGTATATGACGCGTTGGAGGACATAGGCGCGCGCAAAAAAAAAAAAAAAAAAAAAAAAAGCAAGGAAAGTTGCCTATGACCGTTTTGGAGTTAATCTGAACAGATAACATTATTATCAATGTTTGCTAATTTAACATCCTAATACTGAGAGCCTGATGGACTTAACATAATGTATATTTAATCCAAAAATCACATTAAAGTGGACAAAAACAACAACCTGAAATTAAATTAATCCAGCTGTGTAGACTCTCTCTGCCCACGTTTACAAGAGTCTTTAACATTTACCTTCAAGCTGTCAGAGTTTCTTATCAGTTTTAAAGTGGAAATGAGCAGTCATTTACAATGTTTTCAGGTTATTTAAAGTTTGACAATGGACATGCACTTTCCCCACTCTGGTTCTATTGAGAGTTATATTATTTGTTTATTCGTTTGAATCGTGTTTCCTTTTTTTTATGGGCTGAATCTACAAAAAGAAAAAAAAAAAAGGTAAAGTTCCACTTTAGGGATAATGAACTTTTGCTCCAAGTTTATTTTTGTGAGCAATGAGTGTAAAAAAAAAAAAAAAAGAAGATGTACAGTAGAAAAAACAATAATGATAAGACATGCTGGGTTGTGTGTGTGTATGTCATGTTTATCAAAAATTTCTTGAGCTTTTAAATAAAAAGTAAACATTTAATTAAAAACAAGCTGATACTATCAAGCTTAATTTAAATGTCAAATATATAAAAAAGTATTTTTGCTGTGATGTCTGTTCATCCTCCTAGTTTATGTTTTTACTCATACTGTAAGTAATTTATAAATTAAGTTTAAACACCTCAAGACATGAAAGCAGTAAATGAATATATTATCCAGGTACATTTCAAACTTTAGAAAGCCTTAAGAAGTATTGCACAACACAACCTAAGAAAGACAAAAAAAAAAAAAAAGACCTCTTAGCAGGAAAAAATATTAAGGAATGACGTGACTCAAATTGTTTTTTTCTGTGCACTACACAAAGATTTTCTCTACAAGAATTAAAGTTTCACAATCTGTAGTTTACTTATAATATAGCATCAAAGGCTTCAGTCTGCTCTGAGATAAGATAAAGCTAAAATTGTATTATTTCCTTACTTTTGGATTGAGTTCCAATGAGCAGATGAAAATATCATAAATCTGTCACTTGTCCTCTGAGTCCACAAGGTGGCGCCAGAGACCAGACAAAGTCTTTCCCTCAACCTGATAAAATAAATCAGGTTGAGATCAATCTGAACTGTTTAGACGAGATCAAATGAACTCATACAGATGAAAAAGTAAATCTTTTAAATAACCCTAAACATTAATTGTGAAATTATTTGATTTGACTGTTTTCTGTTTCACCCTTACTTTACTGTTTTGCACAAATCCCCCAAATCACAGTCTGGCTTTTTAAAGAAGAGATGAAGAGATGAAGAAAGCAAAACCAAAAAAAAAAAAAAAAAAAAAAACCTTTTAATTGTTAATTTACATTTAATTCCTTCTCCATTTGACAAACAAATATTAATAAAGTTTAAAACAAGTAAATAAACAAAACCCTAACATTTACTATAGTCTTTGCACTGGAATTTTCTCTTAAATAGTTTTTGGAATTCACACGTTTTAAAGTCATCTAAAGAGTTGTGTAAAACAAGTTTTAATAAACGCATGTCTTAAAAAGTACATACGACCTTTGCCCTAACAGTTTACTCTAAATGCACACTTATTTTCTTTGATTTGAAACAAATGTTTTTAAACATCCTGGTACATGCTCAATAATCCAGGTAACAAAACAGACGTCTGAAGAAGTCTTTCGGATGAAAGACGAAACGTTTCTAGAATTTTTTTGTTTTGTTTTGTTTTTTTGAATGTCCAGAGGACCAGATTTA